GGTGTCCACACTACTGATTTCATCTATCTAATAAGTCAGTTATTCCTGTGCTACTTTTAATACAGTAGAGCTACAACTCTGTGTTTAAAGGAGTCTCAGTGAAAGCCTGCAGGTACACTTGTTTTTTTTGTTTCGCTTGCACTTGTTTCTTTTCTTTCTGCAGAATGCAGACAGGGCAAAGCAGAGCACATCCGTGTTCTGCAGGCTGGTTCTGAACAGCCAGCAGAACCCAGAAGAGCAACTTCAGCAAAAGTCAGCCTTGAAAAGCTGAGGAACGCATAGTGAACCAGGAAACTACAGGAAATAGAGCTGCCAAACTCCCAAAATCTTCAACAGAGCACATGATAACTGAGATTTTTCAAAAGCTTACAAAGCAAAAGGCATTGCCTGGCACTGGAACAATGGCTATCCACTTCTATTTCTAGCTATTGCTCCAAAGCTCAGACACACTAAATGTCAATGAGAAAGTTAAAAATGAACACAAAGAACTTTTTTAAACTCAGGCTTAGTTTAAGAAATGGTTGGTTGGAATCTTCCTAATACCATTTGTAAGGCAAGTTATATGGAAAATTTCAGACCAAACAAAAGCTCTTTGGCAAGGTTATGTGTAACTGAAAACAGGCCCTTAAAATGGGAAACACTGGGCAAACTTAACTCAGGTTAACTTAACTTAACAAACTTAATGAATCTCAATTAATAATTGAAATTGTCTAAGTGGCACTGGTCATTGAAGCTCAGGAGAAACACAGATTCTAGATTAATCATTTATTCGCTTTTCTACTGCTCAAATATCTCATCATTAAGAGCATTATTTTACAACTACTCCAAAAATGAAAAGATTCACAGATTCCTAGCTCACAGACTTTGAATTTCCCTTTTCTAAAAGATAGTCCATCAACTGAGCAAAGACCTAGCCAAGTCTGATGGACTTTCACTGGAATCCTATATAGAGAGGTCACCTGAAAGCATTTCCATAGGTTGCCTCAACCTTCTTACCACCTTTAGTCTATTTTATTCACAGACAAACAAACTTCTCATAATTGGGACAAAATTCTCTCTTGACTTTGAAGACAACAGAGGTATGTTCTCTGTACCCAAAACTATACCTAAGTTGTCAGTATACTGCTTTTCTGTCCTCTTGACGGAGTCTCAGTAAGAAAATCAATCAATACAGTGCCTCAAGTATCTGGTCACTTACAGAAATTTGAAGTCTCTTCCTCTGACATTCCTGACCCTTTGCAATTCAAACTCAGGTTGCTTTTCATCTCAGTGATTATACTCAGTTTTACTGCCTTTTAAAAAAATGAGGTGCTTTGTCCCTCCTCTGAAGGAGGAAAAGGCAGAAGAGAAAAGGCTGAAAAATAGCAAATTAATACTTCCACTTTAGGTGTCATTTCTAACTCATGTACCTCCAGTTAATCATACCATGGATCAGAACACACGCATTGGCTTATCAACAGTGGAACATGCAGTTCACTTCGGGATGGATAATTTATTCTTTTGGCAAAACTGAAGCAACATAAGACTTTTTTTCTTTGCCTTCTCGATAGGAGCATGGCACAAAGCCCAGTGGAAAAGATGCATCATACTGAGTCTCACTCCCAGATCTGATTTATCCAAATCCCAAATCTGAAACCTTTTATCGAAGAGGGGTCTTTTTGATATCAATAGTAGATGGTAATACGTAATGCAAATAGTTTATTCTTAGAAATAATATCACTACCTATCTGACATACACTCTACTTTCATAACTGTTGGTTTACAACTGGCAAAATTCAGCATTGTGCAATTAATATGAAAACGGTGTAACACACAAAGCAAGAAGTTATCCATAGCACATACTAGATTCACTGGGAACTGATCAGATAAAACAAGTGACTACCTGAATACTACAAAAACCCACAGAATATGAAGATTATGAAAGGGCTTCTTTGTGTTTTCATACGTTTTTGCACTAGGGCCCCAACAGGATTTCAAAAAAGCATTTTAAAACTTGGTTGCACTGGGGTTCCTGGAGGAAAACATGCCATTTCATATTCCAACACTAGCCTGAAAAAAAAGGCTCAAAGAAAGGTGTGTTCACTCTAGATTAAGATGGGGTCCTAACTATCACCTCTTCACCAATCCTTCCACATCGGGCTTATGAAAGCAAGCAAGTGGCAGGTTGCAGTGGCAATATGTTTTGCTCACTTTCCATGGCTTTAATGTATCTTTGCTTGTCAGTTAAAGCAATCTCTTGGCTGTTCAAGCTCGCAATCAGGCCTGTATGAGCCCCCTGAAGTCTCCCAGGAACAGAAGTTACCTTCTCTCGAAAACTGACGTTTTTGGTTCAAAACTATTTCACTGCCATAGTTTCTGGCATCTGTTCTTCCAGCATGAAATAAAACTATACATTATTCCAGAAATACTGAAAAAGTGTTCAGAACTAAGTGCTCCAATTTGCTGCATGAAAAGCATAATTAATAATGCTTTTCCAACTAATCTTAATAAAAAACCTCTACTACAAACATTAGTTTTGCTAGAACAGACAATAAAACAGTATTTAAGAAAGAATCTATGTAAATGCAGGCTCTATCTGAATGAAAATTATTTCCAGTTAAGCTCTTAAACAGAATCATGAAGTCTTTGTCCTTTATATGCTATGTATTTTTACAAGTACAGGAGAAAATATTTCAGAGAGCTTTAAAATTTCTTTTTGTATGTTTTTTTTTTTAATTCCTGTCTTTTATTTAATATCATCTAACTTCACAGGTATCACAAGAGAAAATTATAACTCAAATATTTGAATAAATAAATGAATAAATAATGCAGTTCAGAAGTAGCTAAAATCAACTAAGTACATTTCACATCTGCAACTCCATGACACTAGGGTTAAACAGATTATGACATGATCTCCTAGTGACACTAAAGATGTTATTCCATAATCTGTCATTTAACTAGATGCAATGTTACCACTGTGGTAAGTATGAACCCAGGCTAATTTACAGAAGAAAAAAACAACATCAAGGGAAAACTGGAAATATTTCTCCTAAATATTTTTTCTCTTTTTGCATTTCTGGCTGGTAGCTTTATTCGGAAGGTTAGTTGTAAGTATTCATAGACAAGGAAAGTTAGTAAATGGAATGCAAATGAGGCAGTGAAATGCACAAGAAGCACATTTATGTTACCATTAATATAATTCAAATCTATTCAAATATATAGCATAAGAGAGATGTGGAAATAAGTTAGAAAGCTCTCTTTACTAAAATTGAATAAACCTGAACCCGCCCTCCCCCCAAAAAACTGTTGCATTTTCAGCCTGGATGTCTCCTAACACAGAACAGAGCACTTTAAATACAAAAAGTGACTAGGATATATACATACACATACACATTCTGCCTCCATCAGTACAGGTGAAGGTTCAATGTAATTTTTCCTTTGTTCCTGAGATATCTGTTATCATAGCAACTATCAATTTAAAAACAAACAAACAAAAAACCACTAATCCACTGGCAGTATCCTGGCTTTCTCAATAATACACTCACCAAAATATAACTAAAACAAAGGATGTGCAAAGTGCAAGCTTCACAGTCGGTATTAAGACATCAGAGGTAGGTTGGCTGTGGGAATTGTGTGCAATAATTCTTTTAAAGCTTCAGCTATAGCAAATATTTGTTAGCAAATGCTCATAAAATGGCACAAATTACAAACAATGGCAATTCATTAATAAGTAATTATAAAAACTTTCAGCAGAATGAAGTTTTGGCACATGCAATGTTATCTGTGTAAACAGATTACTTTTAGAATGAATTTAAGCATTCTTACAACTGAGACTAAGAAGAGATTGAAAAGAATGCTTTCTAAAATACTAGCACTACATTTTTTTTTCAAATAGCTTTGTTTCTAACCATTGCATTAACAAAATCTAATTATAATGATAAAAGTGCCCCACTACTTAAGATTATATCCATTTTTCAATTACTCTCACTTATTTTCATGACTGTAAGTCAGCAGCAAATATACATTTTGTGTTGAATATCAACCCATGGCTTCAAAAAAGCAACATCAAAAACGCAAACATAAACCTGCAGCTATTGGTAACATATACTTTGAAAAAACCATTGTGCACAAAAGTATTACTTTCTTCAAAGAAACTCATTGCCCTGATAGGAAACTGTCCTCAGAATTTAACAAAGTTGATCTCTTGGCACTTAAAATCTGAATTCAAGCAGGACTTGGAGTGGAGCACTACACCTTAGATCTGCATGTATCATCCAATGCAGCATACAGCATTGCAAAATGACCTGAAGCACAAATTACTTGATAAATCTCCCATATTTCTGCTGTTTCACAAACATGATATTAATATATATCAGACATAAACAGAAAGGAATTCTGCAATTGACAAAATGCTTACAAAATAGAAATTTTCTGAGCTAAAGGTAAGAGGACTGAGGAACTACATTTAGCTATGTTTTTTTAAAGTGAAACTGTGGAACTTGACCCATTAGAAGAGACAGACTTCTCAGTTCAACACACAGAGATTGTGAATTTTTATTTTCTATACTGTGTTCCTTTGTGTTCCTACTAGCCTAACAATGTCCCAGTAGATTTTTTACATTCAAGAATGGATGCTGCAAAAAGGAGCCTGATGAATGTGAGAAGCAACCTACAGCAGCCTGCAGAGTACAGCAGATCCTGGGCAGCTCTCTGAAGGTACCTAAAGCCACTGTGAGGATACCTCCACTGATTCCATTCAGTGGAAACTACCTGTGCTCACCACCATTCCAAGTTATTTCCACACTCTTTGAGTACTCTGCCTTCATAACCATGGTGTCAGCTTTCTCACATGCAAGGTGAGCGTGCTGATCTGTCCTGTCTTTATAAGCGTACTGTGAATTTCAAATACACAGAGTGTCTAAAGCACTTTGAGATCCCCGGATAAAAGGTGCCAGATAAGTGCGTAAAATCCATCTGTATGATTAATAATTTCTTTTTTCAGAGCATAACTCAGATCTTACTTTGCTTCCAGTGCCAGTGCAATGATGCCTGCAGCCATAGGTGCAGAGGCTGAGGTTCCCGTATGGCTGTCTGTGCAACGCTGCCTCAGGTCTGTGGTGATCTGGAAGAAATTGAATGTGCGAAATTTAGAACACAGCTTCAGAAATCAGAACAGGTTTCATTTGCTTGAATGAGCTGCCTGTAAGCAGAGGGTATTTTCTTCTTCCATCACAAAGGAGGAAAAAAAGCCTTCTGAGTACATGATTTTAGATGTTCATTTTCTGCTCAGCACTTGAAGACGGTCGTGAACTTGAAGGAGTGTTCTCTGTATTGCACTGAAAACATAAGTTAGTCTCATTTTTTTTTCATGGCATGACCAACAAAAGACGTGTAAACTCGGAAAACATGCACAGGGTTTGTAACAGAATGGTTAGAACTCTGCTCTTCTATTACTTTGCATTTATAGAGCACTTCCCATCCAAGAATCTCAAAGTGCTTTACAAATAGGGATGAATTAAACCTCACAGTGTTCCCAACATACGGCTTCATTATGACCATTTTTAAGACTGTAAACTAGAAGTATGGATGGGTTAATGGGGTTACCTGAAGTTACAGTGGAAGTACATGGTAGAACAGAATGCAGTTATGCTCATGTTAAGAAGTGCTGCATTTAATCCACAATCCCTTCCTTCCTATTCACATGAAATTAAGCAACAACTCCTCTGAAAATCCTGATGTAATCACAAATTTGGCTTAGAGATCTCCAGCCAATTAGTTCTTTGGAGCTTTACATGGTTAAATACTGCTTAACTACATGTAATTATATACTTCAATATATGATCTCAGTGCCTCCATAAAGCCATCATACACAATACCAACTAAAAAGTCACAGTACTTAGTGTCAGGATGCTCCTACCGCATAAAGAATTTCAGGTAGATAGCTTCTGTAAGGCAATAAATCACACACAAAAATGTATTCACTCTGAAACTGTTTATTTCAGGCAAGATTAACCTCAAGTGATTCTGCTCTCTTTTTTTCTTTCTGGAGAAGTGGTTCCTAGCAAGATCTAGGCACTGGAGACAAGAAGTCAGGACCACCTAACAGATGCTCAAGCAAAATCTATGCAGATGTTTCCATTTAATATCATTCACTAGTATCACACCCAAAGACAGGGAGGAGTGGGTCACACATGAGTGGGAACCAAAGTACACAAAACATCCAAGATGTGTAAAAATATCTGTTTAGTTTCAAAACTGGAAGCTACTTGAAATATGGTCTTGAAAAACAGCCACACACCATCTGAACACACTACAAACAATTGCAATCTGTGTGGGACACACAGACTTTATATCTACAAATTCATAATATTCAGTAGTATTATATATTACATATTTGGTATGAGGCTGCTGAACGTTCAAATGACATGTAAATATGTGCAGGCTAGCACATAGGACTTATATAAAAGAAGCTGACAGGACCAATGACTGAGCTGACTCAGCTTGCTGAGTGAAACAAAATGGAAGGTTCTAGAAGTTGAAAAACAAGGATCAAAGCATTTACAATGCCATACCCTTAAGGATATGTCATATTCTTCAAGGATACTCAAGACTAAGAAGAACTCTTTTTTGCCCGGTCTTTCATATATGTATATGCGTTCTTTTTTTTTCTCTTTTCATTTTTTAACGACTAAAAAATGATCCCTATAAACAAAATGCTCATATCATTTCTTTATCTCTTGCCTCTCCTCCTGCCAGTTGTCCATAAATTTGGACATGGAAAATTAATTGAAAACTTGAATGCAGGTACCATACATTCCCTATGCTAAGGGAAAGAGCAGGAACCACCCTATGCTCCTAGTGTAGACTCCTAGTGTGTGTAGATGGTGGTGTGGTTTTGGAGATGAGATGGAAATTGTCAAGGCTTACAGGACAATACACATGCAATATCCAAAATAGTGACATGAAGGCATAAGGTAACTTCTCTGGAGAAACAATGTTTTAAGCAAATAGTGGGTAATGGAAAGGAGGCCAGAAAAATGGAGGGCAGAAAGAAGGACTGGTACACACTTGTCCCATTCCTGGCCAAGGAACTTGCTGAATTCCCTGCCAGGAAGCGGTGCTTCCTGACCGCCTTCCAAGAGGACTGAAGGATATCTGTGCCTGCAGGAGACCAGGCAGGAAGAAACGGTTCCAAAACTGCTTTGCAGTAAGGCACTGTCTTGAGCAGACCACAAGACAACACGGCATCATGCTATCTGTGTTCCTCCTGCTCTGGAAGAAGAACACTCTTCAGCTTTTATTGCCCGGTATCTACGGAAATCAAGCATAGTAAAAGCATGATATCTCTTTATTCTGCAATGGAGTCTCGTGTCTCAAGCAGACACTGTAGCAGCAGTCTACAGCCCCTTATGGCTGTCTTTCGCACAGCAAATATTCTAGCGGGAAATGTGTAAAGAAAGCTTCGTAAGTGGAAATCCCATTTGAGCCATTTCAAAGGGAAGTTACTGACAGGAGCTGAGATGGTTAGGTGAAAATTACCTCAAAGGCGTGCTTTTCAGCACTGTGGATTCATTGTCAGCGATGCCTTGTGTCTATAGCTTAAAAAAAAAAAGAGAGAGAGAACAGGACCACCAACAGGCGAGCGAATTTTGAGAAGAAAAATGATGCTCCAAATTCCAGAACTGCATGAAGCCAACATCATTAATCACAAAGAAGCATGTAACATTTGACAGCCCCGTGAAGCTGTCATTACTGTCAATGAGAGGAGCTGTCATCTCTTTTAACTGTCTGGAGAGGAGCAGAAATTTCTGAATCTTTTCTTGAGCACATTGGTATGCTTCAAACAGTGCAACAAGTGCTGATCTTTGAAAATGCTCATTAGGTTACCCATGATCAGTCCACGTAATAATTTAGCGGCCCTGAGTTAAATCTACCCCTTCTGAATCAACCAGATTTGACCAAAAGCAGTGATGCTTCTGGTTCTGGTATTTTTTAATCAACATGAGATTAACAGCCTTGATGAAAGTCAAATAAAAGTTACAGCAATCATCAAAATGTTCTGTAATATCTGCCATATGTGGAAGTTGGGCAGCTTTCAGAAAATGCACAGATTTACTAAAGAAAAAATGCAGAAACACGTCGTAATAGTTTTTGTATAAGCAATTTACTCTGAAGATTTAAGGAGATGCAATTCCTCAACAGTTATTTTTAAGGCTGTACCATCAATCTTCTCATAGTTCCATCTATTGAGAGGTTAATGACATAGGTCAAAGATAGGATTTTCCTTAGCAGAACATGTTTACTCCGTCCTAAGCCTCTTATTCACGGATATTCTATATTTCATGACTTTGGTCCTCTGAATTGATTGAACCATTTTTTACTTGCCTCTGTAATTCCTCAAGATATGTTGGTTTCTACCAACCTGTGTCCCTAAAGTGACAAGGGTTTAACTAGAACCATCTGCTCCTTTCCACACTCTTTAACTTCTCAAAGCTGAAGGTGCCACGTTGTACCTCAATACTCTGCAAGAATTTGTGTTTAAAGAAGTGAAGAGAGGGGTATTTTTTTTGTTGTTGTTGATGATGATGATATTTGCTTCAAGTTCTGTTTAAAGACAGAAATACATCTTAGCAGAGAGAGAAATTCCGCAGATGACAAAACGGTTTTATGGAGTAAAGAAATAGTAAGTACTGATGGGGTTTTGAGAAGATGAAGTTTACAAAGTAGTATACAAATTTTATCTGTGAGAGATTTTCACCTTTAAATTCACTAATGCTTTCATAAATTATTTTAAAAAGGAATTCAAAGTACTTGTGATGCACTTGTGCAACATCTTTTACATATTCATGACTCAGATAAATATCTGTAGCTATGTATGTATTAATCATATTTTAAGATGCTTATTTTAGGTAATAATGCAAAGCTGCATGGGCCTAAGCTGGGAAACCAGGGGAAATCTTCCAGGGTTGTCCTGCATTCAAAATAGCAGAGAAGCAGAGAAAAACATATTGGCAAATGTATGTCTTTGGCTATTACTTCTACACTCACTGTGTTCTGAAAGATGAGCTCCATAAAAAAACTTCAATCCTTAGCTAGTCTTCACTCACCTTCGTCTCAGAGGGTGAGCTTCCACCCTCGTGCATAACAGGCAAATATTTACAGCAATACAACTTGATGCAGACTCAAGTTAAGTGCATGGTTAGCACGCTCCTTGGGTCACAGACAGCAGGACTCATGTGAGATGTTAATATCAGTGTGTTTCCCTGTAACTGGCAGCTTAGACTGTTATAACCCAGAATTTGTTGTCTTTGCTTTAGTCCAAAGTCACTAAAAATAATCTCCACGTGGAAGAGTGGTGCAGATGACATTATTCTCTTATTTACCAAGCTAATTAGTATCATGCAAGACCGAAAAACCTCCAAAATTCAAAAAGCTCCTAAAATTATGTTACAAGCCGCATTTGTAACAATTATAAAAACATGTGGTAACATCAAAAGAGGGAAAAAAAGTCTCTGGGTACTTATAAAAGTGTGAGTTTTTTTATGAATCTGCATTGAAGCCAAAACATTTTAATAAGAATTTTTACTTGTCCCTTTCTAATCCACACAAGAGCCTAACGTTCACTTAGGTGACTGGATATCCACCTCATAATACACTCTGCCCACAGTGGACAGAAAAACAGAAAAGGGAAAAAAGATATTAGAACTGGAGACATGAAAGGAAAAAATAAGCAGAAACTGGAAGTAGCATCCATGCACTATAAAGCAGTAGACATGCACTTCTCCTTAATACGACATCAACATTTCTGTATTGCCATGTTTCAGAATCTCATATGACATCAGAGTTTTTTTCTCAATTACATGTCAATAAATGAGAATGAGTTCGTTAATTTTGATTGAAAGTATCATGTTGGGTCACTATGATTTTTTTCCTGATTTATGAGAATAGTCCACATTTTTTTGCTATTTTGAATATGAATCCCACTTTCATAAACTGAATCATTATATGCCTTCATCAAACACTGCTACTGTTCTCACGTCTGTGTATTACATTTAAGCTTACATGCAGAAGAGAATTTGAAGAATTGAGATTTAAAATAATCTTTAGTTCTATCATTACTTGTCACTTTACACTTACTGCAAATTCTGAATTCATTTGCAGAAAGATAGGAAGACAATTTCTACATCAAGGAGAGTAGCAATCTAAACAAGAGGTGAGTTATGATGCAGTGAAAAGGATTTATGATTCAGCAATGAAAATGAGCATGCATCTTCTCTTTTTCCCAGACTCTTTTAGCATTTTACAGCAGTTGCTCAAAACTTTCACTTCAGTGTTCTGTTCAGTTCATGTTTCAGATGGACTTCTTTTCAAATGAGATGAGGTTTAATAGGTCTTTTGGAAAGGTGTATTTTAGTAGAGTAGGAGAAGAGAATGAAGAAGTTATCATTATTGCTTCCAAAATGCCTGCTTACCCTACGAGCAACAGAGATGCCTGGGTGAGTGACAGTGATGCCACCGTGTCTGCACGTGGGTGTAACGTGTGTGGAGAGGACTGTAACTCTCCAATTCCCTTACTTTAAAGGGTCAGTTCCACAATTTCATCTCAGTTCTCAGCAGACTCTGGCAGAATAGGAGCACAGGGCTGTTCTCATGGGGGATCACTGGTTTGTGCACAATGCAGACAGAAATCTGCTGACTGCACGGAGCATGCAGTGCTCTGCTGTGTCATGGAATGGGTTGGGATGGGGAATGGGCTGCCTTCAAATGCAAAGCACCAGCAGAAAACACCTTGAGCTGGGTTATGTGCTTCTGAAGTCAATGGATAAAACAGCATAGGAAAGAGTTGTGGATGAGATAGTTACAGGCTGACTCTCTCATATCTGTGATCACAGAACAACTCAGCAGACCCAACACCAAAGTCTGACCCAAGGATAGTCAGGGTGTAAGTTAAGTTCTGCTAAGTGAATGGTCAAGACACTTAGCTAATCTTTTATGGCTGTTCAGCATCTGAATGTTTTTGCCATGCAGTGTGCACAATGAAGAACTTCACTGGTGTAATCTAAAGTTGCCATATGCAGCTGGATCACTACCAAAATAATGCAAGATCTGATAACTTAAGTAATCTGATAACTTGAGTAATGAAAAATGAGAGAATTGAAAGATTTCTATTAAAAGGTATTTTCGATTATCTGTAATACATCTTATATTTTGAGTGGAGACTCTAAATTAAAAACAAATTTGAAGCAGACTATCTTTACATCTCTTCAATAATGTTTATTACTTCTCCAATTCTAGGATAATGCCTATTTATTCATTCTGACTATAACAACTGACCATTCATTTGTAGTGTATGTCTTTCAAAATCTTTCAGAAAAATATAAAATTGTAATACAACGTCATAAATTCTAACTGATGAGCATTGTATTTCGGTAAATGAAAAAAATATTGAGCTTGATTCTCATGAATCTATCTCATAAGAAATTCTACAATGATGTAGGTGAGAAAATATCCAAGTATTTTTGGTGCCAGCAAAGTCAAAAGGGAGAAACGCTCCCAAAATAAGCAATGCTGCCTACAGAAATAGTAATACTGTAAAAGAAGGAAGCCCTTGATAACTGAAAAGAATGTAAGACCATCAAGAAAGCTATGGCTATTTAGGAATCAGAGGAATGCACAACAATTAACTCAGCTAAGCAGAAAACTACAAATGAGGACTAAGAAACATAAATTCGTTTCACTAGATTTAAGAAAAAAATGAGGAAAGATATATTGATCCACAAAATAAGTAACAAGAAGTGAAATAATAATAAATAAAAAAATATTAATGGATAAAAGATGAAGTCGACAGCAATGAATACCAGCGAGAGGACAGAAGATGCATAAAGGTGGTAAGGAAAGACAAAGGACAAGTGGTGAAGCCTACAAAAACAGCAGACTAAATCGTAAAGATATTTTGTTTTAAAACATATTATAATCACCCAAAAAAATACTGTTTTAAGTGTACAAAAATGACAGAACTGTAACTAGTAGTGTATAGAAAATGGATATTTCATTAAATATTCTCTTTTTGGAAAAAATAAAAAGGAGTTTTTGCAGTATATGATGATAATAAATCATCTCCCTATTTTTAACTATTGTTGCCACTACTGAAGTAGACATGTTTAAATCAGCAAGTTTGGAAGCATCAAAGACTTACAAGGGCAAGTCCTGGAACACTGGCCAAATTCCAGAAGATGAAAAGAAAATCAGCAGTGTCAATATTTTGAAAGGTTAAGCAGCACTGCCCAAATAATTTTACCTATTATTTGCTGGGTTTTACCTAATATGAAGTGATTGATACAGTATTTAAACTAATTATTAGCTAATTAATTTATAAGATATTTAATGTTGGATAACATGGACTGCTGGAAAACTGAGCATGCCAAATTAGTGCAAAATCTATGACAAGATGAAATGACTGAAGTTGAAGCCAGGAGAACTCAAAACAGTAAATGAAACATTTTAATAGGTATAGGTAATTAAAACAGCTTACCATAAATTTTAGTGTCTGATTCTCCATCACTGGAAATTTCACAGGCAAGACGGGATATGTTTGTAAAAAAAAACTTCTGAGTTGACCACAAGAACCACTGAACTTCAAGAAAGATTCAGGGAAGTATAACACGTAGACTGGGTTATGCAAGCAGCCTGACTGGAGCATCACAATTGTCTCTGTTCACCTTAAATTACACTAGTCTGACTTAAACATGAAAAATATACTGGTGAAGGTCTTTTAAAGGACAGTAGAGGGAATTTAATCACAGAAGTGAGGAGTGCTAGGAAACGGAGCCTATTCTTTATTATTATTTATCAGGGAGTAAAGAAACATGCCAGGAACAAAGATAAGGTTTCTGTGGAGAGAAGCAAGTAAAGAACAGCAAAATTACTGGAACGAGAGGTATCTCAGAATGAGTTTAAAACAAAAATTAGATCATCTGAAAATAAGGAAGGTTCCAAGAAGGGATGGCCAGCATCCCGGAATCCTGAAAGACAAGGCAGACAGTATTAAAAAAAATAGCTGCTAGAATTTTTAACTCCTCACTGACAGCAAGGGAGTTATCTACTAAGGACCAGAAGGAACCTAATATGAAACCTCTGTTAAAAAGGACTACACGGTGGAGGCATCCACCTAAGCTTTCTAAATGATAAGAAATAAAGATATGTAGACTCTATACCAGAATAAATAACCTGGGAAGAAGACCATATTTAAGAAATCTAAGTAATCCTAATGCAAGAGTTTAAAAGACTAAAAACAGCAGTGGCAAAATATATCTGAATATACATTGAATTTTAATAGGCATATATACAATAACATACAAATACTAGTGGTATTAACTATTAAAAAGCATTAAAAAACACTTCCTGTCTTTCTTGCCAAGAGAACATAATTGAAAATGGATGTAGCCCATTCAGGTACCAGATCAGAAACAGCACAGTGAAGATCAGCAAGATCTTGCTTTCAGTAGGTCAGCAACCAGGAATAGGCAGTAATATAATAATAACCAAGTGTTAAAGGATGTAAAATGGGAGTGATACTGGATCCTGACTAGCAATCAGGAAAAGTGCTTCTAAAATCATATATGCAGAGTATGAACACTAATAAAACCTGGATTAAAAAAAAAAAAATGGTCTGATGGGTTGCGCAGTATTGGTCAGGAAGCAAACCTGCTTTCTTGGCAATGGCAGTAAGATCTCTGAAAGCATCACTCAGAGCTTTCAGCAATTAGAAGAAAAATCCAGCCACAACATGCAGAGATACCCCTGCCTGACTTCAAACTACCAGCTTCAGAACCAGAAGCAGTATGGTGACAACAACTTAGTTACACACTTGGGCAAAAAAAATTGTCCAAACATGATTTTGTTCTTACTGGCCTATTTACACAGTATAAGTAAGCTCTCTCTCTCCTTCCCCCCAAAGACACTACACAAAATACAAAACCATTTATGTAAAAACAATAAAAAACATACTATTTTCCTGTCGTAGGATTCCCCACTGCTGTATGTCGTAGCTAGTGTGGATGCACATTCTTCCAGATACCAGGGTTTCTTCCCACTTTCAGCTGTACTGCTTATAGAGATAGTGTAGATGCTATTGGTGTAGCCATCACAGGAGCAGTGGTCGCGACTCCTTCCACCATTTCCAGATGCCCAAACAAAAACTGAGCCTAGGCCTCTTCGTCCCTGTTTGAAAATGATACAAAAGATTCCATTAACATTTGTTCTTTTTCTCCGCCTCTGACAGTTCTTCCTCTCTGCAAAGCATCGTTCACTGAGGAGGATCTGAAATAAAAATGATCAGACGTAAAAATACAGAGAACAAGGAGGATGAACACAGTTTTAGAAACAAAATTCCAGCTTTACCATGAAAGAAGACTCAGAGTGCCCATTAGAACAGCAGACTGAGTTGAAAGAGGAAAAGAAGCAGTATCCTTGCAACGCTTCATAATGCATAATAGCTTTTTTCTTCTAGAAACATCTCTTAGATGTTTCTTGGATTGACTGGTGATTTTTGTTATTTTCTGGCATCACTACATACAGTGAGCATGGTGATTTCACACATCCTATAAACCAGTGAATCACAAAACTAGCAGAGGTGGGAAGTACTCTTCATGGTGCTAGTACTCTTAAATAGGCATTGATATTAAAAGTGAAGACGCTTAGCAACCTATACTGGTGACCTCTAAATGAAAATTGTGCTTTATTTGATTTATATTTACACATTTCATGAAGGTGAATGAAATTCAGATGCATGCAACTTGCATGGGCTGCATCAATCTCCAGCACTCACTACCTGGAAGCACTCTGCATGGGTTCTGGCAAAAACATCCACCGAAGCGCTAAACTTGTGTTTGTTTATCCCAAGTTATGTTACTTTGTCTTATATGACATTCCCTCAAAGCAATGCAAGATCCCCCTATGTCACAAGTAAACTAATAATCTCATTTATGCGTCACTGGTTTGCAACTCATTATGTAATATATGCCTAGTTTCAATAAATGGTAGCCTCACTTTGTGTGTAAGCTAATATTGTAAGGCATACAGCGCCACTGGCTTTGCACAGATTAATTGCCTGTCCATTAGGAGAGCTCATTTTTTCTAAACAGAGTGCGTTTGTGTACCACAAATGACATAAAAACAGCTGTTGGACATCTAGTAGGTCAACCTTAAACAATTAGCAACTCAAAGATTCTTTCATCCAGATGCGCAGAGGGGTTTCATTAGAGCATTTTGTGCTGAGTGTAGCAGAACCTGCATCAATATACGACAAAAAACATTGCAGTCCACAAATCAGGCTCGAGTCTCAAATATGGATGAATTTCATTTTGTGAGTTTAATAAAAGTATAGTACCTGGAGAGACTCTTCTTTCCAGCACAATAAGTTAAATATCAAATTCTCCTGGCTAGTGTTTACATAAGGTTATTTGTCTAAAATGCAGCTTCTCATTAAAAAAATATTTCAAGCAGAGAAAAAAAATCCCTGGGTGCCAAGTTAAATGTGTTATGAAATCCACATTCTCCAGACAAGATCAGTCTGAAAAGCTAGGAACTGCTCCTCTTTCAATTTCTTTCTCTTCCTTTAATTGATCCAAACGCTATACTGACAAAATGACGCAAAATAATAAACTTTTGTTCCTGTTTGAGATGCCAGGCTTTTTCATTGATTCTGTGCCTATCATCTTACAGCTTCTCCTACCCACATTATGAACTCCAGTCAAATCAAAATCCCCTACCAGGTTGGGCTTCATGTTCCAGTTGATCTTCTGGGCTGGCTGGGTCTGATGCAGAGCCCCTTGATAGCTGCAGGAGTCACCTTGCTAATTTCATTGTGCACAAACCTATTCTGAACCCCTTTTCTTCTCCTTCATACTACTGGCAAGTCATCTCCCTTTGGAGATCTTTATTTCTTACTCCTCCAGTCCTTAACAAATGTGATGAGATGACAGAAAGGAGAACTGGAGAGATTATTTCAGGTGTATACATCCATGTATTATCTCACCAGATAGGGGAGCCAGAATTAGAGTCCTCTGAATGTTTGTTGTGATTAGGATGAAAGATACCCTAAAGACAGGCTGCTTTGTCACTTTTTGCTGTGCTCCTTTTTTCTTATTACTTGTTGTGTTTTGATTTGATGCTGTAATCTCTTGTGATTTCCTTCTGACTTTTCAATGGCCATTTTTAGCTTGTTTGTCAACTCCGACATCTCTTTCAGAGACATGTACACATTCCTGTCTGATCCTACACTGCTCTTAAAAAACAGCTCCTCTCTCTTATACGCACACACAACAATGTAATTTATGTTTAGGTAGGTAGAATACAGAAAACATTTCAGACACACACACTTTTAGCTCCCAGTCTAGTTAAAATATTCTATAAAAACGTTTCCTGAACAATTTTCACTTTACTGTTTATTATTTTCAGAATTTTAGAGTTATTTTCTTCTTACATGTTCTGGCAAACCCACTTCATTGCTCAGAGGCAAGGTACCTACATATGACCAAGCTGAAACCTGTAGGAAATACAGACTAACTACTGACACAACAAAGCAGAGAAATGGGAACTCAGGGTAATCCGACCGCAGATCTAGAGATTTCTCAGAAAAATATGCATGAAATCTCCTTTCAGTAATCATCTACTTGCATTTTTTGATGTTATCATTAGTTGCATATGGCTAACCATCCTGCATATGATAGTACAGTTTAGTCTCACTCATGCACCCAAAACTGTTTTGCAGCAAGCTAGGACTGCACTTCATGCAAATTTTGCAGAGGCAGCCCTTGAATTATTAGCCTCTTTGCACACAGAGTATGTCTGTATTTCTTTAGAAGCATACTTATGCTACTGTACTAATCATGAAAAATGAGTTGTAGAAACAGATATATGAATACATTTGGGGGTCTGAATGTTCCAGTTCAACACTCCTGTTTTTTTTTAATATGCCCCTGGATGTTTGAAATTCTGCAGTGCAATATTCAAAAATAACAAACACCAATTTAAATTTTAATACTAATGACACAGCATTAAAAATAACTAATAGCTATTTGCACCTTAACTGACCTTCACATGCGGAGTTATTTTGTGAAGAATTTTTTAAAAATTAATGTCTTCTCTAAACATACAAAATATCACAATTGTTGTTGTTTCAATAAGAAATAAGTAGTAGGTGCATTGCCTAATGGAAAAAAAATACTCACTGATACTTAACAGAATTCCAGTTCTTCTTACACATTACAATATATCAAAATATGTAAAAACTCAGCATTTCACAAAAAACAATAGCATTACCTTCAGTCTAGAAAGCATGCTAAAGAGCTTGTTCCTAAAAGCTGTTTGGCAAAGTAAAGGGTCTGACCAAAATAATATGTCAAATGAATAAGTTCTGGTTTTCATTTACTGCCTATTGTTAAACTACCATTTGGTTTCCTCCTTCTCCCTGTTTCCTCACACCCTACTTTTAATTCAATAGACCCAGTCATCCTCAGGAAATTATAAACTTGCTAGTAACTCTTTATACCAAACAAGTAATTAGAGCAACAGCATCAGCTGTCCTACTGTATGTGAATGCCATTTCCAGTTGGTCTCCTTTCAACGCATAAAGTTAAATAACAGACATTTGGACTGTGTTACAAAGTTAAGATAAACACACATGCAAGGCACTCTGTAGCTTTTACTGTTTGTCTAAATCTATCATCTGTCATGTGCCAGATGCCCAAGGGTGTCAAGATGAAAACTCAAGCCTTGAGCTGCCAAAGAAGCCGTGTGTCATTTATTACTTAAAAGCAAAGGTGTGTTTACAGACCATATGGGTACAACTTAGACAAATGTGAAAGAGTTAGTGAGTTATGGCAGAGGCAGGGCCTGGGTTGGAGCGGGGGCGCAGCACGATATCCTCAGGGCTAGTTGCAGTGACGTTAAAAATGCATTAACTCTTTCCTCAGGCAGAGCTTTGTATCTGCAGTTATCTGACATTAGCAGGGATGGCTGCTGACTCACAAACTCTGCATGGTGTCCATGACCGCGCTCGTGCTACAGTTAGGAAGTATTTTCCTGCCTTTTTTTCTGTCTTCTTCCTTGTATCATATACAATGACGTAAATGATTTGTCATTAGAAAAAATCAACCTCTACATTTCAAAAAGTAGCGTTTGATTGACAACTGAGACTTACAATTGAGCTAGTCACAGACCAGTCACATTTCTGAGGGAAAGCTGTTGTGCACAACACGCAGCTGAAGATGGTAACTGAAAAGGATCCGGATCCAGATCACTGAGAAGGGTCCGGGGCTGCGAGTGCCCCTGTGAAAGCACCACATGGCGTCCCGGGGCAGCCCCACTTCTGCCCCCTCGGTCAGCGAGCTGCAGGCGGACGGCGGGGAAGCGATATGAAGGCATTCTTTTTTTTTTCCACTTCGACAGCGCGGAAGGGTCAGACTGCCAGGAATGGGAGCCAATATGAACATTTTCATAATGACATCTGCAGAATTTCCTAAGGCTATTAAAAGCACATCCACGGCTCTGAGTGCGTGCGCATGTGTGTGCATGTGTGTGCACACATAAAACACATCTGCACCAGCGACCACCTCACCAGCACCGTTACAGGTAGAGGTCTTCATGTGCTGATCAGCAGCCCGCGTGTTTCCAAGCTGCTTCTGCAACATAGTTCCATCTAACAAAACAGCTTCCTTGCAGCAGGTATACTTTGAGCCAGTGCAGCAAGATTTAATCACACTATTTTACAAAGTTTAGATTGGCCATCCATCCACTGCTTTACAAGTCAAGCTGCCCTAATCTGTCCTGCAAATCCTGATGCTTTCCTGTCTGTGCTGTGGGTGGGAACTGAGCTCCACTAATAACCCTCTGTGTGTACTGGGTGAGCTTTGCTGTCTCTAAGGAAGTGATCAGATTTACCAAGGGACCAGAAAGTAAATGTGAAGGAGCAGGAAATGCAGAGGAGGACAGAACCACTGACCTGGAGAAATCGGAAGAACAGGGGCTACAGTCAAGGAAAGGCAATTTGGCACCAATACACTAGAAATCCCACACCCCGGAGCAGAAAACAAACCACGCAAATATAAAACAGTGAGAGAGCGAGGGGCACCCTATCGACACCTGGGGTCTGAACATTTAATTTCCTCTATTCTACCTAAAAATGTTCCAAAACTCCGTTAAGCTCCCAAGAGCAAACA